TCTACCTGTCCATGCAACTGTCATTTTGTGTTGCCAACTGACATTTTGCGAGAAAAATCCCCCAACTAACAACGACCACAAAACATTTAAAAAAACCTAAATAAAAGTTAAAATCGAGAAAATAGTATAAATCACACGTTGCAGAAGGCTATTCTCGCACTCATTCGTTCGTCCACTCGCTCCTTCGTCGCTCGAGGCCAAATTTCGAATTCGTGCGAGAATATGTGGCCTTCTGCAACTTGTACTTTAATATACTATTCTCGATTTTTATGTAAGAATGTCATATTCTCGCACGCAAAATCGTTGAAGAATGAAGCTCATTCTTAAACGATTTTTGGTAACATTTAGTTTTTAAGTATTGGTACCCCCAAAATGTCAAACTGATTAATAACCTCAAATTCATTACTTTTATTGAAAATGAAGCCTTTATTATTGTTTTGTAATATAAAGTTTGCTCCAACAATGCATTTTAATGCAAAATTTTAAGTTTAATGTGTAAAAGTGCAGTTCAGGTTGTACTTGTGTAGGATAACAAATATTGTCATTTTGTGTTGCCAACTGACATTTTGCGAGAAAAATCCCCTAACTAACAACGACCACAAAACAATTAAAAAAACCTAAATAAAAGTTAAAATCGAGAAAATAGTATAATTCACACGTTGCAGAAGGCTATTCTCGCACTCATTCGTTCGTCCACTCGCTCCTTCGTCGCTCGAGGCCAAATTTCGAATTCGTGCGAGAATATGTGGCCTTCTGCAACTTGTACTTTAATATACTATTCTACAAGCCTGTAATAACAGTAATATTTATTTTATTGGTTATTTATAAGAGTTATATTTATTTTGTTGATTGTTTCGCACTGTTCCCATTTTTATAAGGAGAATTTAGTTTTAGTTTTTAGTTTTACGCAACTCATTTATCCCTTTTTTCTCTCCAGTTTCCATTACTTCCCTTCAGTCCGCTTCGAAGCTGGGATCCCAGTTTCCCTTTTTCCCGGCAAGATATCTTGTATCCATATGGTGTATTAATTTAATGATTAGGGCTTAAACCTTATGGTTATATTAATAATTTTAATATATATTTTGATAAATTTTATTATATTCTTTGTTTAATTTATATTTACATTTCTTGTACTATTTTTATATTTGTATTTTTCTGACGTTGTAAACCTTTTGGTAATAGCACTAATAAATATTATTATTATTAATGCTGCACTTTACCTCTACACCTTCACGTGGTTCTTGCTGAACAATGAAATATTAATTAGACAAAAATGAGGTTTATTTAAAATAAACGTCATTTCTACAATAAAATATATTTCATTGACAAAGTAGAGGATTCCTTCCCCACCACAGTTTTTTACTTAGTTTTTAGTATAGGTTGTGAACTGCGACGTCAGTTTTTTTAAGTTGGGTTTAAAAAAATTTCTTCGCCTTTAAATGAAGGTGAAACCCTGCCTCTGCCTCACCAAAATGAAATGTCACGGGCCGCCACTGGTCGTAGATACCGTGCTTGGTTTAGCTGTATCAGGTCAAAATTGAAAGATAATGGAAACACCCTGTATAAATTTAAACACCCTGTATAATTTTTTTTAAATTAAAAAAATAACAAATTCTTGCAAAATTTGAAGTTAATTGATCAAAAGATACACGTGTCCCTAAGGGTTTTTCTTAGATAATTTGGGAAATTTGAAATGTTTTTTTGCTGATTTTTTTTTTATTAAGTATAATTGAGGATATTATATTATTTTACAAATTATAATATACCTGTATACAGTGTGTCCCCGGATCGGATTTCCAATAGGAAAAACTTTTTTAGACCTGATACAGCTAAACCGAGCACGGATTTGGAATCTACGACCAAAAATTATGTTTATTTCCACCTTCTTAGTAAATGACATTTTATAGGTTAATTTTGTTGTTTTTGTATCCAAGTAAAAGATACATTATGGGAACAGACCTGTAATATTTTACGGGCTTGTATAAAAAGACCTGTAAAGTTTTACAGGCTTGTAGAATAGTATATTAAAGTACAAGTTGCAGAAGGCCACATATTCTCGCACGAATTCGAAATTTGGCCTCGAGCGACGAAGGAGCGAGTGGACGAACGAATGAGTGCGAGAATAGCCTTCTGCAACGTGTGATTTATACTATTTTCTCGATTTTAACTTTTATTTAGGTTTTTTTAATTGTTTTGTGGTCGTTGTTAGTTAGGGGATTTTTCTCGCAAAATGTCAGTTGGCAACACAAAATGACAATATTTGTTATCCTACACAAGTACAACCTGAACTGCACTTTTACACATTAAACTTAAAATTTTGCATTAAAATGCATTGTTGGAGCAAACTTTATATTACAAAACAATAATAAAGGCTTCATTTTCAATAAAAGTAATGAATTTGAGGTTATTAATCAGTTTGACATTTTGGGGGTACCAATACTTAAAAACTAAATGTTACCAAAAATCGTTTAAGAATGAGCTTCATTCTTCAACGATTTTGCGTGCGAGAATATGACATTCTTACATAAAAATCGAGAAAAGCAATTTATGAAATGAAATGTCACATTTGACATATTAATTAAAATTTTAAATTTGAAATTCTTTATCTAAAGGTGAAAATAAAAGTTTGTACGTGTCACGCTTTGCAATTAATCTTTACTAGGCTCACTGTATTATGGGGTTCGCTCCTGCGTCGCTCACCCCACAAACTTTCAGCTCGCCCGTAAAGATTCATTTACAAAGCTTGACACGTAAATAACTATTACGTGTCCGAGCGTTTAGCTGTGATATTTCAATAGTTAAAAATTTACCTACAGTGTTATTATTAAAAAAAAATAATTTTCCAATATTTCAACTATTCCAATAATTCGAATTATTTGAGTAATTCGAATAGTCGATTCAAAATTCAATTAGATTAAATTCAAACACTATTCGCACACACCTAAATTTTAAAATATTAATGGATTTAAAAATCAACTTGCGAGTTAGTTGCCTAAATTTTCCAGATACACGTTTTTGGAAATTTGCACAAATGGCGAATGCGCCGGGATAATTTTCTCGGTTGTATTTTTATACCTATTGTAAAACCTGAGTAGATATTTTCCAAATGAGCCTATGATTTTTTAGAGGATGTCAAAAAATCATAGAATGAGCATACATTTTACATTCCCTGGCGCCATTTCTTATCGTCTTTAAAAACCTGTCAAAATATTTTAAAATATATCTTTGGTAAAACGATTTAAGTGCACCTTTTACTGCTAAACATAGGCTATTATCTATGCTGCTAAAGCCTTGACAAGTATTTTAAAACATGTCAAGTGATTACGTGTTTTCACAGATATTTTTCAGTGACATTGATCCGACGTCGGAATAGAATTGGCCATAGGATGTCGGCCAGCAAACGTCGGACATATGTTCGCACAAGCGATTCTGATTATGAATAATTCTTTTTGTTGTAAAACTTACCCAAATTTTAAAAAATAAAGTTTTGTTCTAGTACAGTAATTGCATTTAAATCATTTTACCACTAAATTTTGTCTTACATGCATGACGATTTAAGTAAATTTTATGTTATAACCAACAAAATAAATATAACTCTTAGAAATAAAAAAATAAATATATAAATAAATAAACAGACGACTAAATGGAAAGTTCAAAAGAAAGTCAACAATATCGGTACAATTTCTCACCGTAATATCCATAATGACTAAATTCACATAAATCACCAAGTTCAATTAACTAAACCCACAGAATAAACCACTTACAAAAGAATCATAAAATAGACAAACTCATAGAAAAAGAATAAACAAAATATTGCGTAAATAACCACAGATTTGTTCTTTAAACAGTTCAGAATTGTATAACCAAAACAAACCTAAAGAAGGAATCTGTATTTATTTTATTGGTTAGTGCTATGGCAACAAGATGGCGATAGTGTTAAAATATGTTTATTTTAGAATAGAAATATAATTTCGATTAAATCGATTTATTATAAGAAAAATAATACCATTTATTATTGAATTTTGAAAAAGGTGTGAAGTATAATTTATCTAAAATTCCGCAACAGTGTTGCCACAACACCTGCTTATTTCCTTGGATGTAGGCATACCTGCCTCGCGTATGCTAATACGAGAGAAGGAGACAACTATGATATCGCATTGTAATAGAACGAGACAACAAGGCTAACGCCAATCGTGAGTCTAAATTAGTTCAGGCATGCTTCTGAGCCAATCATCTAGCTATAAATATTAGTTTAAATTGCGGTCGTTTCAAATTCAAATAATTTAAATGCTGCTGGGTATTCCACGTATAAAACAATCAATTTTATTGACTATTTCACAATTCATGTAACCCAAATATTAAAAATTTATTGTATATTATAGAGAGTAAAATATTTTAATTATACTTAATTTTTTAATTCTCTATGATGAGGCACTGCCTCACCTGTCTCCCCTGACGGGCCGCCACTGTCTACGACCAAAAATTAAGTTTACTTGTCCGAGCGTTTAGCTGTGATATTTTCACCTCTCTACAGTGTAATCGGTTAAATAAATTAAATTAAATTTGAATTTTTCAATTCTGGGTTGGGCACATGAATCGACTGGTTTTAAAATAATTATAAAAACTGTAATTTTTGCTTGGTAAAAATTAAATCTGATATATAATGACGTGTAATAAGGCAATACGTAACGTTTAGGAAAAAGGGGTCAAGACTTTGTGACAATGTTTAACATATATTAACATATGGCACACACAATAACATAATTAATAATGTGTTATTAATAATGGTACTATGTGTGCCATATGGAGGGTCTGATATCCTTTAAAAAGGTGTGACGTTCTCTATGAACGACCCCTAAATCATTATTTTTAAATTAATTTAAAAGAGTTGTTTTTTAAGAAAATTAATAAAGTTAGCATTTTGCCAATGCATCGTGGGTCAAATGCCGCGGCATGCCGGTGACGTAAAAGTTGGTCTCGTATTCGGATTCGAAGGACGCCCGGTTCAAACGACAAACACGCCGAACCATATGAATACAAGAATGAACACAGGACACATTAAATGTGTCAAGACTTATCAATATAACCTTATGTTCTGTGAAGATAACCACCGTCATAGTTTGGGTACTCTTGACCGGCCCATCAGCGCCTTAGTACTAGAAAACTCGTTACTCCAAAGGTTTGTGTCCACACAGAAAGACGAAGATCGAAGGTCGTGCCATGCAATAATTAAAACCAGCACAGAACTAGTAGTTTGTTTACAACGACCAGACAGTGTTTATTAAATTGCAACTGGTGCTATATTGCGGTACTGAATACCAAGTGAGTGACATATAATACTTTCGTGCCTAATAAATTCGTAAATTAAATTCCAAAGTCCGCGTCGCAACAGGCCACAGAAGGGCCTATGATAAGTTCCGTTTTTATCAAATGTATTTTTCTTATCAGTGTTTTTTAATACATGTAGAGATTTTAGTCTTGTTAAAGTGTATTTAAGTAAGTAAACAACAATGATTAAATATGTATTTATTTTAAATCGACTGCGTTCTTATTTAATATGCTAATTTTATATATTCATAGATTTCTCCAACCAAAAAAACACTAGAAAAATATTATTTTATAAAAACACAATTGTATTATGCGCGTTTTTTACTTATCTATTAATTTTTTTAAGTACCTACCTATATATAGTTAAAATGTTATTAAATTGTAAATTTATATAATTACCACTTAATACCATTTATTTGCCATTGTATTGTTAATTTTAACATACTTAACTTATTTACAAATCAAGAAATGATAAACAAAAATATAAAAACATAAAATACCTATTGTACCTACTCGTATTATTACTTAATTAAAGATTAATCTCATTATAAAATGCACTGAATATTTGAATAGGTTTATTATAATATAATTTATATAAATATTATCTTTTAAAAAACATATTTTTTAATACATATGATAAACCTATTCATAACAATACTTGCAAGTGCTTACAACTGTTTTATTAAGTAAATAATTAGGTACCTAATCTAATGAAGTGTTTTTCTTTGCAGATAATTTTTTATAGTCCAGTTATTCGAAGATGTTGTCCAAATACCGTAGTGTCTCAAGATTTCTCGAAAAATTATCCGAAAATGCTAAACCTCAAAATAATGTATCAAAAAGGTTTATCAGCACAAAAGAAGTGATGGACAGGGAGGGCAAATATGCCGCGCACAATTATCATCCTTTACCAGTAGCCCTCACCAAAGGAGAAGGTAATATTTACTTTTTTTTAAGATATTTGAAAAATTATTTTCATGTATATTTTTTTAAACATTGCTCAATTAGATTCTATAGAACAATAAATGGAAGTGTAAACAAAAAAATCGGAATATCATAATTTAACAAAAAATAATATATAGTTTGCGATTTGCGATAAGACGCCCAATCTGGCATCAATGGTCGCAAAAATTTGAAATACATTTTTTTTAAATAAAACAATTTAAAATTTTATATATTTTTTAATTTTAAAATAATTAATTTGCTTTAAATATTAAAAATAATGAAAAAAGGTCTAAAAGAAAAGCAATTTTTAAATATTTAATTTTAAATATTTTTTTTAATTCGTCAAAGGAAAACTGTAAACTTGGCACCAGATAACTAGAGGCCATAAAGCAAAATCTTTTACAAGATTAAAAGTTTTATATTTTAGTAAAATTTTAAAAATATTGGAAAAGTGAAGATTTTTTTCGGTGGTACGGTTAAGTAAGTGTCCAAATTTGTATATATCGTCGGTAAGAGAAGTTTTTAAAAATTGTAATTTTTCATATGGGAGAACGATTTTAAATTTAATTATAAATGCGTAGACATTAGCGACAGACTACAGATTTTACAGCAAAAGAAGAGTTTTGGGAAAATTAAGTAGTCAATAGAACTTGGTATGTTCTGTCTTATTTTTGCTAGCTCTATCTACTATTAAAATTTCCCGATTAAAATTAAACTAAAATAAATGAAAACCTTTCGTTTCTTTATTTATTTATCATCCACCATAAAATTTAAAATTTTAAGCTGGGTTTCTTTATTTTGAATATAAATAATTGATACATTTGAAGAAAAAAAATAGTTATGTTTATGTTCTCCTCCCAGAATAAAAAGATTGTGTGTAGGTATTATGCCTGCTTGCAATAGCTTTCTACATAGAGTGCACAAGATGTGATTTTTTTAAATTTGACTAAATGAAAACTCGACCTTTATAAAGTTTTTGACGTTTGGTGCGCAATGCATGTTTAAAAGGGTTACCCTAAATAAAGAATTTAATATTCTTGACCTTCAAACAGCAGTACAAAACCGCAATATAAATAATACTTGTATATACCAAATTAACAGGTATACCTGTTAATTTTAGCCAATCAGATGCTTGCATTTTAAAATATTGCTATGACAACAGGAAACAATTTGCAATAATGTTTATTGCTTTTTATAATGTGGCATTTTGGAAATGATATTAAATTTTCTTTAATCTTGTGGTATATCGCAAAGTTACTATACGAGGTGTGTTCAGAAAACATCGGGAATTTTTGTTTTTTGAAAAAAATATTTATTTATTCGTCTACATTAATGTTGTCGCCTTCAAAATAGTACCCATTGGATATTATGCACATGTGCCAGCTCTTCTTCCAATACTCGAAACACTTCTAAAACTTGATCTTTGGGATAGCCTTAGTTCTTTTTTTAAGGTTCTCTTTATTTTTGGGAATAGGAAAAAGTCAGACAGAGGCATGTCTGACGAATATGGAGGCTGGGGCATCATTACAGTATTGTTTTTGGACAAAAATTTTGTTCAAAATTGAACAATTTTGGAACAAACTTTGCTGCCACGTACCCAAAACATTCGAAAAAATTCCATGAGATGAGCCAATCGATATACCAACATCATCAGCGACTTCTCTGATGGTTTATAACCATTTCTTCCTCTTTTTCCATGTTTTTAACGGTTGTTAATGTGCTTGCGCGTTCGGGGCGTTCGTCATCTTCAACGTCTTCACGGCCATCTTGGAAACTCTTATACCACTTGTAAACTCTTGTTATTTTACTTATAGCAGACTCACTATACCCTTTGATAACATTTCACAGAATTTAATTCATTTTTTAAGCAAAATTGGATACACATTTCTTTGATCTATTTCTTTTAACAAACGAAAATCGCCGAGCTCATAAAACACGTCTAATCTTAGCGGCTGCCACAGACAAAGTAAACGATTAAAACAGCTAAAGTTGTCAGGCAAAACTTTAAAATACCCATCATGGCTATCTCCTATTTAACATTAACAACACATTGTATATGTACGTCACATAATAATATATATAAATTAAAATCGTTATTGGACGACTCAGGTGGTCCAACAACTGATGCACCCTGTATGGTACTTACATGTTTTTCTTTTATTTATGTTTTTGATTATTTTTAAGGTGTATTTGTTTGGGACATGGAAGGTAAACGATACTTCGACTACCTTAGCGGTTACTCAGCAAACAACTTCGGCCATTGCCACCCTAAAATCGTACAGGCCCTGCAAAGTCAAAGTGGCATCCTCCACCACACCTCGCGAGCCTTCTACTCGGACACCTTCGGTGAATACGCCGAAATGATCACGAAACTGTTCGGCTACGATAAACTATTGCCGATGAACACAGGCGTCGAAGCCGACGACACTGCCTGTAAGATATCCAGGAAGTGGGGATATTACAAGAAGAATATTCCCAAGAACGAGGCTAAAATTATTTTTGCTAGCGAGAATTTCTGGGGCAGATCTTTGGCTGCTATTTCCGCCTCTACCGATCCGACCAGTTTTGAGGGGTATGGGCCTTTTATGCCTGGGTTTAGCTGCGTTCCTTATAATGACTTAAAAGCTTTAGAGGTTTGTTAACATAACAAAAAAACTATTTCTTAAATTAATACTCTTTTTGTAGAAAGCTCTTTGCGATCCTTTGGTATGCGCCTTCATGGTAGAACCTATTCAGGGCGAGGCTGGTATTGTAGTACCTCATGAAGGGTATCTTAAAGGCGTTAGAGAACTTTGTACGAAATACAACGTACTTTTTATTGCCGATGAAATTCAAACCGGTCTGGGCAGAACCGGTAAAAGGCTTGCAGTAGATTACGAAAACGTCAAGCCCGATATTTTGGTGCTAGGAAAATCCTTAGGAGGTATAGTATATTGTGCGACTAGTGGGAGAAAGGGGAGATTCCTCCCGCGCGGTATAACGCGAGTAGAATCTCCTCCTTTGACCAATATTTTATTCAACTACCCCAAGGAATTTGAAGTCAATTTTATTTGATATTCTATCTGACATCTGACAGGTGTCACTTTTTTTAAATTTTAACTGGATAGCTTTTATCGAAAAGGCACCAAGTGCCAAAAACTTTTTCTGGGGTAAACAAAATTATTTGCAAAATAACTTATTTTTAATGCTGCTCAAAATATTAATAATGATTTGGGAACCCTCTCAATACTTTTGAGAAAAATTCCAAATAATGATCAACCTTTTAAGCATTATTAAAAATGAGTTATTTTACAAACAATTTTACTAAGCCCAGAAAAACTTTTTGGCGCTTGGTTCCTTTTCGGTACGCGTTGTCCAACTTAAAGCTAACTTCAGCCTGTGAGCGAAGTAAAATTTCACCCACCGGTTAAAGTTAAGAAATGAAATGGGTGTTGAATAAAAAATATAAATCTCTTAATTCACTTAAATTAATTCCCTGGTAAAAAAGTTACTGCATAGTGGTGAAGAATAGTATATTCTGTAACAAGTTTGGAATACAGCATATTCCGCTCGAGTGAAAAGTTTGTCACACGAGCCGAAGGCGAGTGTGACGGTTTCACGAGAGCGGAATATGCAATTTCAAACGTGTTTCAGACTATACTTTTTCTACGCTTATAAAAAATACCAAAGAAATAATTTAATTGGAAAAAAGTTAGGTTATCTTTTGACAGATGTTAGATTTTATGATGGTAGTAAATAAAATAGTTTTTAAATAAGCTTATAAAAATTACTTACATAATTTTGCAGAACCTAAATTAGGAAGTATAAAGAAGTAATAAACTTTTTTATTCTTTATTATTTACATGTATTTTAATATGATCAATAGTACAGTTTTGAAAGGTTAAATTTGGGGCAATATTTAAGTTTTCTTTATTTACTAAGGAATTTTAATTCAAAGCTGCAGTTGAAGATTGAGATGATCCTGGGTTTGATGCTTCAATTTCAGTAATATGAGACATTAGTTTATTAGACACATCTAATCTACTGGATAAAGAATCGTCAATATAACATTCTCAGAAATTTCTTAAGAGAAGTCGTATTTTTACTTTTACGCCAGTCCATAAATTGTTTATAAATTTGCAGATAAACTTCTTTGGACTTCGCAGGTAGTAAATCTAGCGTTGTTTGATTGGCCTTTTTAGTTAGTTCTGGAGGAGTGTTTTCAAACGCGTTTCTTCTTCATCAGTAGACATGGACATATTATTTAACGACGATATATTATTCAGAGATAAATATAGACAAATAAATTTTAAGTAAATAAATGGAGAAATTGTAAGGAATGACAAATAAGTTATTATTTGAATTTCAAATTTTGAATTAACTAATGACAGACGTAAACAATTCATATACTTACCACTTAAGTATATGAAACAATTAACCAGTGCTGCCATCTCTTTGGAACTAAGTCAAACCTAAATATTCTAATAGAATCCTACTAAATCGGCCAAACAGAATTACAACTAGCTTGTAAAGAAGATATATTTTGGTTATTTTTATTAACGCAAACTGTTTTAAATCCTATTGTATACTACCGATTAATATTTTCTACCGGGCCTTTCTGAAAAAACTAGATTTGGTAGGAATACAAGTGAGTTATAAAATAAACATAGAGATGTCGCCCCCAGTGCTCATTCCCATATACTTACCACACTATGGTAAGTATATGCTCATTCCATCATTAGAACATGTGCGGAATAATTATTCTGTAACACTTTATGGAATATACGTAATTCCAGATTAAAAAGTCATATAAGAACTGTCAAATTCCGTAATAAGCGTAGAAAAATAATTTTAAGAGCCGTTTTATGTAAACAAAAAAGTAACCACCAAAAATGCTACTTTTTTGTGACAGAAAATCTTGCGCGCGTTTTTTTGTGAATTCCGCGGATTTATGGTTTTGTGGCTTGACTTTCTTACTTGGACGATATTATATATTTCTTAATTAATTAGTATATTGGGAGACTAATATTCTTTAAATTAACACAAATTAACTTATTTTTACTTAGTTTCTTCGCTTCAACTTCGCAAATCAGCAATTGAGTCAATTGAATTGACATTTATATAAAAATACAGGGAAAGTTTTCGGGAATGTTTCCGGTAACTTTAAAAGAAACTTTCAAAATGAAAATAAATTCCCCCTTGGTGAGATGTGGTAGACCACCCTATGCCTAACGTGAGATTCTAGCCATGAAACTTTCTTTGCAGACAAAATGATAAACCCCAAAAAAGAAAAAAAAAATGATTAATTTTGTTTTAACAAAATTGAATTAGGTATAATACACATTCTTTAATCTCAAAATCTTTTAATATTTTTAAATTATAATTATATATATAATTTGATTGTAAAACGGCGTAATTACGTTCGTTATGTAAATAATGTTCTACTGTTATGTATTTATTTAATATATATATATATATGTATATATATATATATTATATATATATTTAATTGTGACTTGAAAGCTTAAAACACACGCACGCCTTTTACAAGTAATTTAAGGATAGTAAGTTAAAAAACGGATGTATGAAAATAAGAACACGCCTTGTCGGACGATATAAAATATTTTATTGAAATACGGACAAAGGAATACATGAAAATTTAACTTAAGATGTCTTAAATTTAAGATATATATCTATATATACATATATATATTATGAGATATTTTCAGGCGCGGATACATGGGGGAATGGGGGGAATAGCTCAAGGGCCCTTGACAACCTAAGTACTTTATTTTGACCAATTTCAAATTTGTTCTCCATACTTATATTATATAAGTTATATATATATATATATATATATATATATATATATATATATGTGTGTGTTCTTATTTCATATTTTTTGAAGACAGGCAAACAGCTCTAGAGCATTATGCAAGTATTGGATAACAAACTGAAATTTTCTCAAATTTTGTTTAGAACGAATTTTCTGGAAGGTAGGTAAAATCACACAAAAATTGCCCCACCCCCAAAACAAAATCCTGGATCCGCGCCTGGATCTTTCGTCATAAACTTATTTTAGACATCGTATCTCTCGCTCAGGGTTCCACCCTGCTCTCGCTCAAGATATTTATTAGACATATGTTTTTAGAGGACATTTTGCTGGGTGGTTGAGCAAACGATATCTTGACATCGAAAAGTAGTAATGGGCCGTCTATTAATCTCGTGACATTAAACATGGTCAAAAGTGACTCCCTCCCCTCCCTCCTGATAGAATGTGACGAAGAAAAGAACCACCAAAGGGTCATGTGACGGATTCCTATGGAACGCCGTTTTGCTATTTAACATTCTCTGAAATAAATATTTTATTTCAGTTTTCGGTTTTTATTTTACTTTATATTTTGCAACGACTGATATTTATGTCAATTTAAAATTTAAATTTTAAATGCTTGACAATTGAAATATTAAAAACAATACATACTATTTTCTTTAAGTATAATTAGAAACAATCGCAGAATATATTATAGGTATTATATTTATTATTGCAATACTCATGTATATTGTATAAAATATTTTCTATGCTTTAAAATTTTATTTTTGCAATAGTTTTAAATTTTAAAAACATGAATGTAAATATTATTAATTTTCAATAATGTGTACAGAATTATAATTGTTGTGTATTGAAGAAAATAATTTTTGCAATGTATTTTTGCAAACTGTCGCGTATTGTAAGAATGAATTTTTGCGATTGTCGTATATTAAAATTAAATTATTGCCTGTTGCATTAATTTATTTTAACAATAATTACAATACAGGAGAATTAAATTATTTAATTCTCGTGTATTGTAAAAATGGTGGTAGAACTGTTGCGTTAAATAAAATCCCTAAAAATTCCCCAACCGATACCTTTAATTAGACAACCTATATTACACTTGACCCTAGATATTTTTTTTGAATTTAAATTAAATAGAGTCTATTTTTTATTAAACGCATGTTCACAAAATAGATTTTCTTTAGGGGGTTAAAAAAAAGACTTTACTTAATTTAAATTCATAAGAAATACGTATTGGGCCAAGTGTAATCTGTGTTGTCTACATAATTAAAGGTATCGGTTGGGGAATTTTTAGGGATTTTATTTAACGCAACAGTTCTACCACCATTTTTACAATACACGAGAATTAAATAATTTAATTATCTTGTATTGCACTTATCGTAAAAATGAATTACGGCAATAGGCAATAATTAAATTTTAATACACGTCAATTGCAAAAATGTATTCTTACAATATGCGACAATTGCAAAAAAAACATTGAATATTAAATAGTAATTTGGCGTGTGTTTTAGGTACGCCGTTTTACTTTTTATTAAATAAATATGCTAGTTACATTAAATAGTAAGCCAGCGCGCTATGTACCAAGCAAATTCATTTAATAAAAAGTAAAACGGCGTACCTAAAACTCGCGCCAAACTACTATTTAATAACATTCCATGTATTGTAAAAATGTATTTTTGGAATTATCGCTGATTGTAGAAATTAATTTTTGCGATTGACGTATATTAAAATTTAATTGTTGCCTATTGCAGTAATTAATTTCTATAATAATTACAATACAGGAGAATTAAATTATTTAATAGAGTAATTGCATCAAAAATGAAAATCCCTAAAAACCTTTTTATTGTAATCTAGAGGTAAAAACACATTGCGAAAATATTTTTTTATATTCCAAAAGTTCAACCCGGGCCCAAAATATCAAATTGAAAAAAAGGTACTTTTCAAACGTTCCGAACTCCCGCCAAATTGCATGACGTCATAAGCTCCAACTGTCAGAAATCAAGATGTCAACAAATAATAAACACCGATAAAGTTTAACATGGAAAACGCGAAACCAAAAATTGGTTGTAAATATTGTTTTGTGCCTTGTACAAATACAACCTGGAAAACTCCTGGGAAAAGGTTTATCACCGTGCCAAAAGGGAAAATAAGGATAAAGTGGATTAAAATAGCTCGGCGCGATATCAAAACATCGTCACCGCAGTCAACATTTTATTGATCATTTTAAGGATCATTTTAATGTAAGTAAAATAAAATGTCGTTTACTAGGTATTTGGTTTGAATAGGTATGTTAAATATTAATAGACCCAAGAAAATACGGCTGAGCCGTAACTACTCTCAGTGTAGGGTCATAAACTTTGCTTTTGATAATTGAAGGGACAACTTTCCCAGGAGTTTTCCAGGTTGTATTTGTACAACAAGGCACAAAACAATATTTACAACCAATTTTTGGTTTCGCGTTTTCCATGTTAAACATTATCGGTGTTTATTATTTGTTGACATCTTGATTTCTGACAGTTGGAGCTTATGACGTCATGCAATTTGGCGGGAGTTCGGAACGTTTGAAAAGTACCTTTTTTTTAATTTGATATTTTGGGGCCGGGTTGAACTTTTGGAATATAAAAAAATATTTTTGCAATGTGTTTTTACCTCTAGATTACATTAAAAAGGTTTTTAGGGATTTTCATTTTTGATGCAATTACTCTATTCTCGTGTATTGTAAAAATGGTGGTAGAACTGTTGCGTTAAATAAAATCCCTAAAAATTCCCCCACCGATACCGTTAATTAGACAACCTATATTACACTTGACCCTAGATATTTTTTTTGAATTTAAATTAAATAGAGTCTATTTTTTATTAAATGCATGTACACAAAATAGATTTTCTTTAGAGAGTAAAAAAATAGACTTTACTTAATTTAAATTCATAAGAAATATGTATTGGGCCAAGTGTAATCTGGGTTGTCTACATAATTAAAGGTATCGGTTGGGGAATTTTTAGGGACTTTATTTAACGCAACAGTTCTACCACCATTTTTACAATACACGAGAATTAAATAATTTAATTGTCTTGTATTGCACTTATCGTAAAAATGAATTACGGCAATAGGCAATAATTAAATTTTAATACACGTCAATTGCAAAAATTTATTCCTACAATATGCGACAATTGCAAAAAAAACATTGAATATTAAATAGTAATTTGGCGTGTGTTTTAGGTACGCCGTTTTACTTTTTATTAAATAAATATGCTCGTTACATTAAATAGTAAACCAGCGCGCTACCTATGTACCTAGCAAATTCATTTAATAAAAAGTAAAACAGCGTACCTAAAACTTGCGCCAAACTACTATTTAATAACATTCCATGTATTGTAAAAATGTATTTTTGGAATTATCGCTGATTGTAGAAATTAATTTTTGCGATTGACGTATATTAAAATTTAATTGTTGCCTATTGCAGTAATTAATTTCTATAATAATTACAATATAGGACAATTAAATTATTTAATTCTCGTGTATTGTAAAAATGGTGGTAGAACTGTTGCGTTAAATAAAATCCCTAAAAATTCCCTAACCGAAACTTTCAATTAGACAACCCAGATGACACCTGGGAAGATACATATTTTTTATGAATTTAAGTTAAATAAAGTTTATTTTTTATTGAATAAATGTACATGTAAAATATAATTAGTTAATAGAAATTAATTATTAACTCTCTAAATAAAATCTGTTTGTGTACATGTACCTATTTAATTAAAAATAGACTTTTTTAATTTAAATTCATAGAAAATATGTATCATACCTGGTGTAATCTGGGTTGTCTAATTAAAGGTATCGGTTGGGGAATTTTTAGGGATTTTATTTAACGCAACATGTTGCGTTAAACTGCAGTTCTACCACAATTTTTACAATACACGACAATTAAATTTTAGAAATGAATAACTGCAACAGGCAATAATTAAATTTTAATACAAGACAATTGCAAAAATTCAATCCTACAATACGCGACAATTACAATAATGCATTTCTACAATACATGACAATTGCAAAAATTCATTTCTGCAATACACACCAATTAAAAAAAAGCCCAGCCCATTGTAAGAATTTATTTTTGCAATAAGCGACTGTTACCAAAAAAGTTATGAGTTGTTCCTTAAATTTAATTTAATTTTTGTATTAGTGAACATATTTATTTCTATTGAATTTCTTTTTTTAAATTATTTTTGCAATTCTGTTAAAAACGTAAAACTACAAATGCAATAGATTATATTTTATAAGCAATTTGTGCCTAGGTTATTATTCCTGCCACAATCCACAATATGTGGATTGTGATTCCTGCATTAAATATATATATTATATTTTTTAAATTTGATGCAAAATCCCGCTTTAATTTGCTATTAATATTAACAGTACCTACTTTTAATGTAACTTACAGTGGAATATTATTAAATAGTAATTTGGCGCGTATTTTAGGTACGCCGTTTTACTTTTTAATAAATTAATATGCTAGTTACATTAAATAGTAAAACCATAGATTCCCTACCCCTTAAAAATATTATTTTCGAATCTTTTTTTGTAATAATCTAACTAAAAATTAAATAAATAAGCAATTTGATTTGATTTACTTTGTCACGTCACGCACCATTAATGGTGCAGGTATAGACTAATTGGAGCGCCATTTTCGTGATACTCTGTATACTAATAAATTGTTAAAACATTAAAATAGGAAATAATGTTTATAAAACATGGCTATAGCCATTTTAATGAATTAATTAATTAATTTTTGTATAGGTGGTGTTTATCCAGTTTCTGCTTGTCTGGCAGATGATGAATTCATGATGGTAATAGAACCCGGCACTCATGGTTCAACTTTTGGCGGTAACCCACTGGGTGCTAAAGTTGCTATAGCTGCTTTGGAAATACTCGAAGGGGATAATGTAGCTGAAAACGCTTTCAGAATGGGAGACATTTTTAGAACCGAACTTAGAAAAAAATTAGACAAGGATATTGTTATTGAAATTAGGGGAAAAGGATTACTGAATGCCATAGTTATTAATAGAAGTGAGTAAAAAATATAACAAACTAAAATTTTATATTAATTTTTGTTTTAATTTTAGATTATATTGATGCTTGGGATATTTGTTTGAAACTGAAAGAACAAGGTTTAATTGCTAAACACACTCATGAGAACATTATTCGTTTGGCCCCACCATTAATTATAAATAAGGAACAACTCAAAGAATCCTTGGATATTATTGTTAAGACTATTAACAGTATTGAGAAGAAATAATTGTTGATATCATACATTGTTATTTTTATGTATTTCATTAAGATTTTTTAATAATTTTTTTTATTTTTAAATTGATTTTTATTTTTCCTCCATTTAATTAGAACAGGGAACACCCTGAATTAGAATAAGGTAATTTTGACAATGTTACGCTATGCAAGGCAACACCGCATTATATATTTAGTGATTTTGTTATGTTGGTGAAAAGTTGGTAATAAATGTCCCTAAATTATCTCCCTAATAAACTTCAAGATGGCGTTTGTTATATAGTTGTCAAAACATAAATATTTAGTTATGTAAAATATTATTTTATAATAACCATATGTGAATGTTTAAATTAATATTGTAAAAACGACCTCGGCAAGTTTTAATTTACAAAAAATAATTTACTTGTATGTTTCGTGGAATGTTTTCGATCGGTGTTTTTGTTTATTTTTGAATGCATTTGGTTTACGTCTTCTTATTTATGCGGAAGTAAATAACTGTGTAACAATGACTAATTGGTTTAAATGAAAATGAGATCCGTAATTTTGAATTCTGTTTTGTTGATTTTGCTCAGTATAAATACACTTGCTGATGAGTATGAGTGTCCCAACAAGTGCAACTGTAAAAGGAATGTCCAAAAAGATGGAGGTATCAAAATTAAATGTGGGGAAACGGAGAAAATCACTGATGTGGAGGAACTTGAATTTCTAAACATTGCTAATGAAATTGTTCAATTGTAAGTACAACATTATCCACCCACATTAAGTCTTCGAATATAATTTTTGTTTTAGAAACTTGTCTGATAACTTATTAAAGTCATTTAAGATTAAGGTAGAGTTAATTACTCTGCAAAAATTGTAAGTAAACAATATTTTTGTGTGAGTTCTGTATATTACATATAATAATCCTTTTAGGGACCTAAGTAGGAACAAAATTTCCTCTTTGAAGTCTAGGCAATTTGTTGAAGTACCTTCTTTAAGAAGATTAGACTTATCAGGAAATAACATTAAGTATATTGACACTGAAGCCTTTGCTAATTTAAAGCATTTGGAGAGACTGAAACTGAACCAAAACCAAATTAACTCTATTAGTTTGGGAACATTTGATCCATTCACTAATTTAAAGCAAATGTAAGTAAAAAATATTTAACCCTTTAACGCCCAAAACTATTTTTTTTCTAATTTAATTTTTTTTTCCTGGAAATCGCAATAGTTGGTTTAAAACTATGATTCTTGAGCAAAAAAAAATATTTTTTTACAATCATTTAGAAAAAATAGGCTGGTAAACCGTTTTACCAGTGGACATTTAAGACATGTATTTTTTATAATGCTCACTGGTATTACATATATACCACTATAAAAGATTTTAAAAACAACACAAGAAAAAATGATTTCCAATTATATTTATTTAAAAATGGATAAAAATATATAATAAGAATATAACTAAATAATATGGTATGGTACAAAACATTCTACGCACAAAGCCACCTGACACTTTTTGCACTGAACACTACTCCTTTTTTGTTTGCCAGTTTTGGCACATTCCCTGCACCTGCGAGATGATGTTTTTTCTGCAAGATGACCAGCCCCATGTAAAGAATCTGTTACTGTAGCAGGACCTCTTTTTTTTTCTCAAAGTGAATTGAGCAATTAGTTTATCTGCTAGTTGGCTGCGGAACTGCAAATGTGTCATTGGCTTATTTCGTGGATTATTTTTTTTACTGTTATTTGATACAATATAAATGCATTGACTATCGATGCATCTATAAAATAATATCACAGAAAGTGCATAAATATGTTTTAAAAACATTGTTTTTACATTTATAGGTATTGATATAAAACTGAAAACATATTATTTCAAAATCTACAAAATAAGTAGGTAGATTTATAAAATGTTTTTTATACTGACTACAAACATTTTATTGACTAAAAATATTTATTTCAAAATCTACTAAATAAGTAAGTTGATTTATAAAAAAAAGTGCTACGATTATGGCATAATTTATTTTTATAATAGGTACCTATTGCAGTTTTAATTACAAGATATAGTACAGTCATCTTAGTCAAAAAAAGGGATCAACCTCGGAATCTAACGGAATAAGCTGAATTTTTGTGAAAACCTTTATTTTAGCATTAAAAATGTTGTCTCAAAAGTCACATATGCAAACGTGTGAGCGGCCTTAGATATTCAAGGTCAAAGGTCGCAAAAATCAGTTTTTTAGGAATATCTCGTTTTCTCTGCCTCCTATCGTATTTGCATTAATTATAAAAGTTGTAGAAAATAAAATTCTCTACAAATTTTGTTTACAAAATTTTTTTATACGTCGAACCGTTTTTGAGATAGAGGGCGCAGAGTGTGGAGCGCTCAGCCATACGTACCTTTAGCGCAAGGTAAATCGTGAATCCCAATCTATTATACCGTTTTTTTAATTAATTATATAATAAATATTACTAAAATAAAAATTTAATACCTTATACTTATATTTATATTTCTTTTAAATCAAATATATTTTATATTCATATATATCTTATATTTTAATTTAATTTTAATGAAGGATAATTGAATCGGAGTAGGAAAAAATGTTTTTATTTATATCAATATTATTATTATTATCTTCTTTATCCTCGTCTTCTTCAGGTTGGCCAGCAAATTTCAGATACATTCTCATCATCACTCTCCTCGTTATCATTGACACTAATTGTCATATCTTCAAAAACTTACTTATAACGCGTTTGTACTTTGCAGATTTTTTTGCCTTTGTTGCCTCATCTGCGACTTCACCACAAAATGAGCACAATATTTTAAAATCAAACACATCATTCCCTTTTTTACGAGGTACAGTTGATGACGTTGAAGGTCCAGTCTCTTCCGGGCGACGTTTTGCTGCTGCCATTTTACTATAGTACGCCAAAGATAATTATCTTTGTAGTATGCTATAGCGTACAATTTTCGACACTCAATATGAACGTTCACAGAATTTAAAGTATTTAGGTAGTTTATGTTTATTTCTCTCAATAATTGCTTCTTTTAAAGTCTTTATACCGCGCACAAAAGTCACAGAATCACCTTCAGAAAGTAACTTATTACAAATAAAACACAAATCAGCCATGTTAACCTTTAAAATATTACGAATATTACCTGTCACAACCCTAGACCTATACCTAGGGTCACAACTTGCTTTAAAATTTAATATACGTATACCTAACCTTTTTATTTATAGCAAGCCCACTATAGTATTTCCAGGTCTGTTATTTTAAAAGCAATATCTGGATCCAAGAGATGACCAGGGACATATTTAAGGCAAATTCATTTATTGTCTTTATGCCATTATCATTAATTAGAATAACATTAGAATATATTTAGAATGATTCACTTCATTATTTAATTATTTGTATCTCAAAAGTAAGTAATATTTAATGGCTATTTGTTTTAAAAAAATGTATAAAAATTAATATAAGGTATTAAATTGTTATTTAAGTAATATTTATTAATTATTAATTAAAAAAACGGTATAATAGATTGGGATTCTTGATTTACCTTGCGCTAAAGGTACGTATGGCTGAGCGCTCCACACTCTGAGCCCTCTATCTCAAAAACGAATGGACGTATAAAAAAATGTTTTAAACAAAATTTGTAGAAAATTTTATTCTCTACAACTTGTATAATTAATGCAAATACGATAGGAGGCAGAGAAAAGGAGATATTCTCAAAAAATTGATTTTTGCGACCTTTAACCTTGATTATCTAAGGTCGCTCACACGTTGGCATATGTGACTTTTGAGACAACATTTGCAATGCTAAAATGAAGGTTTGTACAAAAATTCAGCTTATTCCGTTAGATTCCGAGGTGAAATGCCTATATGACTGGACTAATATGTGAAAATACAATGTAAAATTTAAAGTTTTTTTTACAAATATACATCAAACTTCAAGGCGCAAACAGATTTCGCCTCAAGAATTTATTTACACAAGGTTAAATATTCGCCTAACAAAAATATATATATTTTTTGTTTTTTTTATTACAGGGATTTTCAAAAAAAAAAAATTAAAATTAGTTAGGTTATAATTTTTTTTTGCAAGAGGTTAGGATTTCTTTGTTTTACCGGTATATTATATGTATTTTTATACACAAATTAACAAATAGCGTTACAAAATAAATGTAGTTACCTAATTATGCGACCTATTTATGCGTAAATTATCACAAATACATTTAAAAAGATACATAACTTCGTAAAATCTACATGTGGTTGTTTTATATGTGGCTCAAACGCCCAGTGGTAGCATATTCAACCAGAAGCGCGTTAAGTGCCGATTGTCGTTGCCGACACTCAACGAATGGCTATGAAAGCTACCAGCAGGCATTTACAATGTTGGGTACTCCCATTAGAGTCAATACGGACTATATATTGTGCAATATGGCGTAAATATGCACCGTAATATCTCTTGGTAGGATTTCCTACCAGTAAGCAAAATAATGTTTTTAATCAATAAATCATAAATATTTCTTTGTGAGAAAAAAAACTTATTTGTGAATGGAAAAGAATTTTGAAATAAGAGTATCATTCCAGATAGCAATATGACATCTTAATTATTAAGTCTGCATAAGCTCTATTTTTTGATTTGGACATCAGAAACAACATCAGAAAGAAGTTTTTAAGAAGTTCTTAAGACTTCGAATGAACCACCTATCAAACTAATCAAGACTTCTCAAATAAGAACTCTTGAGGAACCCTTTCTTTGACTTTGCAATTAAGCATTTTAAAGAGTCCTCCTGTATACACTTATAAAAAGACTTGTTTAGAATTTCCTGTTTTGGATATACTACTAGGGTACTAATGAAAAAATTATATATTGGATTGTTGCTTATTTTAATATGTCTAGTTTAATTACCATAAACAAATATGTTAAATTGATTTTATTAAAATCATTTTAATAATTTGCTCGTATTTGCTTATTTTTGGAATTGCGATTACTTCTCACTTTTGTTTAAATTCAACCGTGTTCTCCACCGGTACCGATAGACGGCCTGTTTCGCTCTTTTGGAGCTTTTTAGTATTGGGTACCCTACCTACGTCTAAGACCGTTTGGTATGGAGCATTCTCTAAATTCTACTTCGTCGCTTCTTAAATCAAACACAAGCAGTTACAGCGGTGAGAAGAAAGTAATCGCATTAAAATGTCATAAATGATTTCAGTAAGAAGTAAGAAAAGAGTCTTATTTATGATACCCTTATTAGCTTCTAATTTTGATTTGAAAGATACTTTAAGATGTTTAAAAATTGAATTCATCAAGAGCTCTTAATCTTGAGCTCCTAAAAATGATTTCTCTAAGATGTCATATTGTAACCTCGGTAATATGTTTTTAACAGACTTTGTACGGAAATCTTTTTAAATTGGATGCTGTCTGGGACACAACCTATTTTTAAAAACTTTCACAGTTTAAAAATTACTAAAAATGTGAAGACATTGGATTTTTTAATCCTTCTGTCCATCAAGGTATAATATACTATCCTTAAATACCAAATTTGGGTAAAATATATTGAGTTTTATTTTGAACAAATCGTGGCCCCAGAACCAGACTATTCTATGGCCATTTTTTTAATTTTTACAGGAGACGATTTTTAAAGTTTAAAAGCTTAGATATTATAATTGTAAATGAATTGTAGTATCATTTTATTTTTCTTGGTAATTATATGCATTGTACTTTTAAAAAAATGCAGCTTGCAATAATATAGTAGCAACACATTATGAAAAAAAAACAAGAAAAGTAATGCCTTAAGGCAAGAATTTGATCTGACACTACCTTTTAAGAACGCCACTGTGTGCAGATCAACTTCACTATAGTTTATGATGTTCAAGTTAGTTTCATAAAAAAGCTGGACAACATGTTTATTTATGTTTAAAAGATAAAAGTTGGCAAACTATTAAATTAAGTCTTAAGTTAAATCACTGTATGAACTTCACAGATGATTCTTGGGTTTTTAACTTTAAGTTAAATTAAATTACTTTTCTTATTTTCATGAACATGAACGCAACCATTACTTTACACAGTTTTAACTTTTTATCTTATTTCTTATTCTTATTTTAAGTGAGCATGCCTTACAACAATAATTGTTGTAAGGCGTATTCAC